GTAATGGTATCTTATCGAAGCAATAGAAAAGTAACTAAGACACTTACCAAGTAGCTAAGGTTGACCTTGAACTCTGCTTCCCAAGGGCTGGGATTATAGGTGTGAGCTACCATTCCTAGCTCTGAATACATAGTCAAGCTACAGGTGGCAGGGTATGCTGCAGACTCTGTGTGTCATGTGATACAAAGGAGGGTGTCAAGGATAAATCCAAGGTCTAAGGCCTAAGGCCCTGGAAAGGCCCAATGTCAATCAAATGAAGTGATGCTTGTACAGGGATTAAGCTTTTTATTTTTAGCTTCACAAGTTTTGGGCCTGGAGAATAACTTTTGCAAGACTGCATACAGATCACTGTCAAAAGGCACAGGACTAACTAGATGAGGTCATAAAAGGAGTGGCTGAGGCAGAAGCATGCATGGCTGAGCTCCCAGTGCTCCAGGTTTAGAAAACTGAGGAAATAAGGCCGGAGTCAGTCAAAGTAGGAGTCCGCTAGACAAAAAAAGAGCCAGTAGATTAATAAGGGAAGGGAAGGAAGAGAGTGATTGGAAAGGGGGGAACAAACGGGGTTCAGCGTCGCTAGTAAGTAAAGTGAAATGAAGAGTGAGAGTTAGGGAGATTAGCAGGGCCCCTGGTGACAGCCTCTAGGATAGCTTTGATAGCTTTGCTGTGATGTGGTACAGGAATCTAAGTTAGTATGTTCAAGTGAGAATGAGCTGAGAGCGTTTGGAGACAGAAGCTAGAAAAATTTAGAGGAATTTCTCGAGGAAAGGCAGCAGAGAAACTACTCTCTCTCTCTCTCTCTCTCTCTCTCTCTCTCTCTCACACACACACACACACACACACACAGAGGTATGCTAGTGTGTGTGTACCCAGACGCTTGTGGATATCAGTGACAACCTGGGTGTCCCTCCTCCTGTCTACCTTGTTTTGTTCGTTTTTGATACAGAATCTCTCACCAGGACCTGGGCTCGTGGATTAGGTGTGGCTGACTGGTCAGAAAGCCCCAGTGATCCTGTCCCTGGCTTCCTTGCACTGAGATTACAATTGTGCTACCATACCTCGTTACTTACATGGGTGCTGGAAACTGAATTTAGAGATGGTGGTGGCTTGAGTAGCAACACTTTACCAACTGAGGTATCTCCCCAATCCTGAGAAACAGCATTTTATCTGAATAATCCAGAGATGCCTATCATTTTTTTTTCTGGTGCTGGGGTTTGAATCAGGAGTCTCGTCTATGCAATGTGAGGCACTCAATAAACCCAGCTGTTTTCTCACACCTCTCTGTTATCTTTGGTCCCATGCACTGTCCCTTCTGGCTTGCAGTGTATCTCTCTACGCCGGGGATTATTTTTCTTTCTTGAATCTTATACGCATGCAACAAACAGAAGTGCCAGGATAATATCCCAGGGGAACAGCTCTCAACCAATGGGTGATGCGATCTGGCAGGTAAATCTCCTATTTGGGGGAAAAGGATGTGGGTGGAGCTTAAGGTAGTGGTTTTACATCATCGTGTAGTGTCTCCATGGGAAATATGTTCCAGTTGGTCACAGTGGTTGCTAAGCTTGCAGATACATCCTCTATCAATTGTCTTTTCTTCCTTCCTGTGCTCATTGTCCCCCACTCTCCAGATGGTGTTTCCTGTAATTCCCAAATAAATTACTTGTACTTGAATCTTTGTTTCAGGGGAACCTAAATTAAGACAATCCATATTTAAATACCGTCTAAAATTCAGTGATGCTCTCTGGCCCCCGGGCTGACAGGGCCACACTAGCGAGAGTATGGAAGCTCCTTGCTTCTCCACCCCTTCCTGATTCCTCTCTAGCTGGCTGTTCCTGATTTATATCTGTTATAATAAATGCTAACTGACAATGCAGAGTTTGCAAAATTTGTGCTTGAAAGTCTCCTTCTTAACGAATGCTTTTGTGGGAGGTAAGTTCACTCGGTACTTTAGAAAAATGCATGATTACAAGACTTCTGCTAACAATTCCTAGGCTTTCTTTTCTATTTCCAGCAACAAAACAAACATATTTGATCTTTGTTCCTACTTCCTGACCCAGAATGTTCAAAACTCTTAAAATCTCCTTACTGATAATGGTGATAGGAACATCTGTAATCTATAAAAGGCTTTAGACTACATCTGAGTTTATGTTTCTGGGGTCACCCAGATGATTTCAGGATGGTGGATGGTTGCTAGGGAAACCAAGCTGTCCATGCATCTGAGGAGAAGGGAGGGGTTGGAGATTTAACGGAATCACCAATGACTTGTGATTTATCAACTATTCCTAGAAAATAGGACCTCTTAATGAAACAAACTGGTGGTTTGGAGAGCTTCCAAATTAGTGAACACTTGGAGGTTCTGGGGGGCAGGCAGTGTACCCAGAGAGAGCGTGGAAATCTCTGTTGTTCCTCCTCAGTGGGCTGTTCCTCATAAGCTGGTGGTGGTTAGAAATTTTCTCCTGAATTCTATGAACTATTCTTGCAAACCACTGGACAGGAGGAGGAAATTGCAAGGATCCTTGATGAGTAAGCTAGCTGGTCAATAAGAAGTGTGGATGACAACCCAGGTCTTGAAACTGGTGTCTGGAGTGAGATAGTCTTAGGGTAGGCAGTCCTTGACTTGTGGGATTGATGACTCCAGGTAGACGGCGTCAGAATTAAATTGTCAACATCATGTCTGTGTCGGAAGTACTAGCAGTAAAAATAGCAGGGAGCTCCCAGAACATAAATTCTCTTAAAAACATGCTTATTTCTTAATTTTTAGTCATCAGTGCACCATGAGCATTGCCAGATAAAAAGAGAAGGGGAAAAGGTTAATTTCATGCCAAGCATATTAATTTTGCATCTGTGATGTCTAATTATATAAAGTCTGAGGAAATCATTAGACAGTAATGCTCAGGGATCTTGAGTAATTTCCTTTTAGGATACTTTATGAATATTAATTATTCAACTCGGAAGCTACGAAGAAGACACAATTTTTGAGTCAAGAGTAGGATTTTAACTCTCCTTGAGAGATGTTTTTTCCTCAACATAGTATGTTCACTTGCTATTAAGATAGACTTATTATAAGTATATGAGGGATACCAGATGCCTCCTTTTATTGCTGCTAAACATGTAATTTCTATTTTCTCTACAACTGTTAAACTCAAAAGCATTTTCAATTTAGAATAACCAGGAGGCTTGCCCGTTAAATTTTGGAGTATCTTATACTAGGAGTAAAGCATTGATTCTTTTTTCAAATAATTTATTTTTATTTTATGTGCGTCAGTGTTATGCCTGCATGTATGTCTGTGTGAGAGTGTCAGAAGCCTTGGAACTGGAGTTACAGAGAGGTGTGAGCTGCCATGTGGGTGCTGGGAATCAAACCTGGGTCCTCTGGAAGAGCAGCCAGTGCTCTTAACCTCTGAGCCATCTCTCCAGCCCCAAGCATTGACTCTGCTCATCTATGTTTCAATATCCTCCCTTCCATGTTTCCTGAGAGAAGGAAAACTCGTGGAAGTTTCTCTTCCATTCTGTCTTCACCACATCTTAAAATGTTCGCAGGGTTGCCAAACACTAACCCAGTGAGTGCAGTGTGCCAATCGCTGATAGGACAAGTTTCACAAAAGAGAGTTTATTTGCAAGGTGGCAATCATGTGGAGACCAGGAAAAGCCTCAAATCTGTCTCCTCAGGGTTGCAGTTTAGGAGATGCCTCAGTGGGAAAGGTGCTTGTTGCACAGGCCTGGACACCCAAGTTCAATCCAATCTCTGGAGCCCATGCAAAGGCAGGAGAGAGCTGAGTCCATCAGTGCTGTCCTCTGACCCCCACACATGTGCACATGGTTTCCTGATGTATGTATAGCATGCACACACGCAGTAACAATGAGTACAAATAAAAAGAGAAGAGACGGATTCCTGAGGTGTTGGGATAGGCAACCGATAGTAAGCAGAAGCAGAGTTTTTGGCGGAGTGTGCTTACACACAGTCAAACTTCATGCTCTCCGTGAGACCACGCACTGAAAATGGCCGTTTGCATTAACTGAGTGTGCAGTGTTTGCTCACATAAAGTCAAAAGGTTACCCAACAAATACAGGCTCAGGTGAAGGGATAGTAGTTTCAGCTGGTTTGAGACAAATGGCTCCAAGTTCCCCCAAAACAACCGAGTGGCCATTTCCATGTGACATGCATACAAGTTGTCATTTGCGGTAAAGTCACTGGGGATCTCTTGTTTAATGCCAGGCTTTTAAAACTGGTGATGAAAGAAAAATGTAAGTGATGTTGAGGACAGGAAGAGCAGAAGTTGAAAGTCACTATAGATACATAGAAAATTAGAGTCCAGCCTGGGCTACATGAGACCCCATTTAAAACACCCCAAACAGCTGAGAGGTGGTGGCACACATCTTTAATCCCAGCACTCAGGAGGCAGAGACAGGTAGACCTTTGTGAGTTCAAGACTAGCCTGGTCTACAGAGTGAACTCCAGGACAGGCTCCAAAGCTACAGAGAAACCCAGTCTCGAAAAACCAAAAATCAAAAACCTCCCCACACTCCCAAACCCAAACAAACAAAAAAGAAAGACAGACAGACAGAAAAAAAAAAGCCAAACCAAACCAACTAATCAAGTATCCAACCATCCAAAGCCACATAACTAAAAGCCAGTGAAACTAGAAGGTTTATCCAGGTTTTCTTTTCCACTTAGTTATTCTCCACAACAAATTCTGAAGTTCTTATTCTATGTATTCTTTCTTGAAGAGAATTACTTGAAAGACATATATACAATGTGTACTATGACTGCTGTGATCTAGCAAAATAGTTTCATCTTCATGATGTGGTAAGGTAGGCACTCTTGTTCCCACCTTATGGACCAGGAAGACACAGACAAGAGGTCATCCCCTTACCTGAGTTCCCACTACGAGGTGGAGGGACAAGCACTCAGCTGCAGACTGCCTCCAGAGGCCGTGTTCTCACCTCGCTATTTTCTGCAATGTAGATTGTGCCTCTAGAGCATCTCAAACTTGATCCGTCCCTCTCACCTTTCCCGAGCATCCGTTCTGTGTACCCAAGTGCTTCTTATGCGTCTCCACCTCGCTGTCCACCAAATGCTTCAAATTCCACACGACACAAATGGCGACTGGAGTCCCGGTTCCCCCAAGAACACTCTATGGCTCTGTTTTAGAAAATGAAATCACCATTCATGGAATAAAGGCTCACAGTTCTAGGCGTTATCCTCGGCTCATCATTTCCCTCAACTTCCATCTACATCTGTCTTGCAAATTCGTCTGTCCTCTTATAAATGTCTTTAATTTGCCCTTACTGCCATCGCCTAGGGGTGATGTAGTTTGTGCTTAAATCACGTCCACCATAGAGATTCAAACATTTGGACACTGATGAGTTGGTGAAGTGCTCCCGCCTCCTTTTTTTTGTTTTGTTTTGTTTTGTTTTTTTTGTTTGTTTGTTTGTTTGTTTGTTTTACAAGACAGGGTTTCTCTGTATTGTTTCGGAGGCCTCCTTTGTTTTCTAAGTCACGATTTCACTATGTAGCCCAGGCTGATTTTAGTTCATAACCCTCCCTCCTCTGCTCCCTGGTAGCTGGAATTTCAGGGATGTGCCACCATACCCACTACAAAGGTCTATTTGTAAAAGGAAAAACTGAGTCTATAAGGGGTTGGGGCAAATTCAACATAATGAAAAGAGGAAGTGCTGATGACTTTGGCCAAGTAACCAAGTGAGGTTTCCGGTGTCTGGTAGCAGAGTGGTGTTTATAACGTCTGAGACTCAGCATCTGCTTGTGCTACCCTGTAGTCAAATGTTATACAGAAATGGAGCCTTGCAAGGGGATAGCCCTTCATTCTGGGTCATACTGTAATGTTTTTTGTATACCCACTGATGTCGTAATTTTTCAAATAACACTACAAGAAGAGAGGGAGATGCTCCGTGATGAAGACCTTGCGCTGCTCTTGAAGAGGACCAAGCCCGGTTCTCAGCATCCCTGTCTAGCGTCTTACAACATCTATAATTCAACTCCAAGGGACCTGGTGCCACTGCCTTCTACGGACACTGGCACTACAGTGTACATACCCACACACAGATACACATAACTAAACATAAAATAGACCTTAAAAAACTCAAAGATTTACATAAAAAGCTAAGAAGAAACTCTAAAGAAATGTAAAAAGGTAAAATATTATATAACTACCTGTCCCAAACAGCTATTTTTATGGCCTGATGAAGATGAAATGTGAGATTTTATTTTTACAATTGTAAATTAAATCTGCAATTATATTCATAAATGACATGTTCATAAAGTTTATTCAAATGTTTAATTTTAAATCAAGTTTTAGAGTAGTTCCAGAGGTAAAATATAGGGTGATGTTCGAGTTTTTCTAAAACAAAGACATTAACTGAGTGTGTTGGAACTCACCTGTAATCCCAGTATTCAGGAAACTGAGGCTAGAGGGTTGATAAAATTCCTGACTAACTTGGGCTAAAGAGTGAGACTGTGTCTCATAAAGTAACAGCAAAAGCAAAATCGGAGTTATTGCTAATTCTAAATTTTTATTTCTAGTGCTGGGGATAGGAATCAAGGATTTGTGCATGCTATAGACAAGTGCTCTACCAGGAGCTATAACCACAGCCATAGAAAGTTTTAAGTCGCAAAGCAACAGATGTTAAAACAGCAGATAATAGGCAAATCATCTATAGTCCAACTGTTCTAAAACTATCACTTTAGTATATCATCTTTTAGTCATCATTTAAAGCATGTCTATTTCTTACATGATGATATTTAATATTTTTAAAATTAAACTTAAAAAATATTTATTTTTATTCTATGTTTATTTGTTTGCCTGCATGTATGTTAGTGTATCACATATGTGAAGTGACCTCAGAGGCCAGAAAAGGATGTCAGATCCCCTGGAACTAGAGTTACAGTCAGTTGCGAGCCACCATATATGAACGCAAGAGCTGGGTACTGGATCCTGGTCCTCTGCAAGAAGAATCAGTGCTCGCAACTTTTGAGTCATGTCTGTAGCCTCTTAAAATTACATTATATCATCTATCTATCTATCTATCTATCTATCTATCTATCTATCTATCTACCTATCTATCATCATCATCAATAGTGTGTGTCTGTCTAGTGTGTGTGTGTGTGTATGTCTAAGTGAGTGTGTGTGGATACATACTATGTGACAAACATGGCGGTCAGGAGGTCAGAGGGCAATCTTGCTCCTGACTACAGATACAATGGGATCAGATGCCTCACACTTTAGCCCTCATTTCTTTCTGGTGTGATGGGATTTGGACTCTGGCATTAAGTTACTGAGTTAACTTAGCCCTTCCCTAGCAATTTACCCTCTTCCTGGCTGGGCTTGTCTGTCTCTGTGCCTCCTCCTCCTCCAGATCCTCCAGTTCCTTCTTTAGGTTGCTTTTGTCAGGTTGTCACAGGAATGAGAGAAATCATGAACGTGTACATTATGCAACTTTTCACAATGGAAGTGCCCCCAAAGTTGAAATGTAAGCCTTTATTTGGCCTTGTCACCAGCAAGCTCTTTTTCTAAATCTATTTGTTAGTGGATTGTCCATACCGAGTAACAAGAAGCAAGTGTCTATTCTAGTTTTTACTTGGAACTCAGAGCTCCCAATAGAATTTCTTCTGTAACTGAGAGTTATTTCATCACTCACCAAAAAGGTTGTTGATAAAAAGAGGAAGAAGGTGGCCATGGCCTAGTACTTAATCATGTAAGTTTAAGGACCCAAATTTAATCCACAGAGCCCACATAAAAAATGGACAAGGGAGTGCATGACTGTAATTCCAGCACTACTAAAGGGAGATGGGTAGTAGAGACAGAATCTCCAGAAGCTTGAGGGTCACCTAGTTTGGATATGCAACAGGAAAATGTCAAAGAAACCCTGTCTTCACAGGGAGGCAAGTGAGACTAGCACCTGAGGTTGTTCACCGACTTTTACATATGTGCTTTGGCATAATGTGTGCCCATGTGCCTACCCACACACACACACACACACACACACACACACACACAGAGAGAGAGAGAGAGAGAGAAAGAGACAGACAGACAGACAGACAGACAGAGACACAGAGAGAGGCAGACAGACTGAAAGATAGAGAGAAACAGGGATGGACAGACAGAGAGGGAGAGGAGGAGGGAAATACATGCTAAACATCAGCTGATTACTATAAATCTAGACTTTATGCTACAATACCTAGTTGTTTATATTCATGCCTTTCCCAGGGTTCTTATTTGCAACTTAGAATCTTTTTTTACTGTTTTATGGATAGGGCACCAGCAATTGTCATCTGGTTATATGGTTTCCAGTCTTTAGATGCTTTCTGTGACTACCATTGCTGGAAGAATCTTTTAAGAGGTGCATTAGACCATTTGCAATCTGGTTCGTGTTTCCAGCCTCACCTGTGATTCCCTGGCCCAACTACAGGAAGCTTTGTCCTGGCCATGCATCCCAGCCTGTTCCATAGTTGGGGGAAGAGTGAATGGCACAAGGCAGTTGAGGCAGGTAGATGCCTGGGGAAACTTCATAGCATTCTGGAGGGAAAAACTGATTTCAATTAAAATCCACTTGGTCTACATTTGAAGGGTACAACAGGGAAAGATTCCAGCTGGACCAGTCTTTGGGTCCTAAAGATACAAACACCAGACTAAGTTTTACAGTTTTTGCTATGCTGAGATCTAGGGAAAGATGTGATGTTGCCCTGGAGACTGACATTAAAGGACCCAAGATGCATTCTGAAGGCAGAATAGGCAAGTCACATGAAGTAACTGACTGTAGGGAATACAGGAAAGATGATTCTTAGTTTGGAATTGTCCTGAGCAACTAGATGAATAAAGTATGCCCAGACCTGGAGAATTCTGGAGGATGAAGCCGGTAGAGGCAGGATAAGCATTGGCCTGCAGCAGATCAAGTGTTAGGAGAGGACTTGATCTGGAGTCTTGTCAGACCTTCTGGGTGTATACAGCACTGCAGTAGACAGTTGGGAATATTTACTACAATGACAACTCCCAGAGGACTGCAGACACAGGACAGTGGAAAAGTGCTTGCCTTTTTACGTGGACATGATTTGGGTTCAAAGCACAGCAAGACAAAAACAAAAAACAAAACAAAACAAAAGATGCTTCAGGATCTATAAAGACACCTGGGGCAAGCTTAGTAGGCACACTATCAACACTACCACGAACTGCTTCATTAAACAAAGACATAGGAAGTATGTCTGCAACTGCTGAATGCCTTTCTCCTCTCAGGCAGAGATGGGGGGAGAGGATGGAATACAGAGCACATGCTATACAGTACAGTGTTTCCCCCAGACAAAGCCTAGGGAGTTGAGTATGCATGTTTCCTATGTTAAGCCACTGTTTCTTTAAGTTGTTTAAAAATAGATCTATTTTTTTTTTGTTTTTATTTACGTGTAGGGTGGGGACGTGAATATGAGGGCCAGCATCCACAGAGGCCAGAGGTGTTGGCTCTTCCTTCAGTTGGAGTTACAGTTGTGGGTTGCTAGATGTAGGAGCTAGGAACTGAACTCTGGTCCTCTGCAAGAACATTATGCACTCTTAATGGCTGGGCCATCTCTAGCTCTCAGAAGTTTCTTTCTAAAAGGGTTATTTATTTATTTATTTAGAGACAGACTCTCTGGCCATTCTGGCCAGTTTTCAGAAATTAATTTCTCACACATTCCATATTTTTGTTAGTGAAATATTTTAATGAAGAGTAATTCTATAGATTCCATTTTTAAATGTTTGCTTTTTACTAAAAAAGGTCAGCATTTGGAAGAAACATATCCTATCATGATGGGAGATGCCATTCTATAAATCTGTCTCTTATTGGTTGTTGAATAAAGCACTGTTGGCCATTAGGGAAGCAAGATAGGTGGGACTAGGAGTCGAGGAGGATTCTGGGAAAGAGAAACACAGGGAGAGACAATGTAGCCAGCCAGAGAAGTAAGATGTCCGGACCCTTTTCTCCGGTAAGAGAAATACTTAGATGAACAATTATGGGTTAGCCAGTAAGAAACAAGCAAACAGCCAACAGCTTCATAATTAATATAGCCTCCTGTGTGTAATTTGGGGACTGCTTTGGCAGAGCCCAAGCAGCTGGCAGAGGAAAACTACACGTTACATTATTATATCTACATAGATGCCAGGCGAGGTAGTGCACAACTTTAATTCCAGCACTTGAAAGGCAGAGGCAGGCAGATCTCTGTGAGTTCAAGATCAGCCAGGTCTACAGAATGAGTTCCAGCCAGTGAGCCAGTGATAAGTAGAGAAACCCTGTCTCAAAAAAAGAGAGAAAAAAAGGAAGGAAGGAGGAAGGACAGAAGGAGAAAGGAAGCAAGGAAGGAAAAAGAAGCACAAGGAAAGAAAATGAAAGCTCAGGAATTGGAGACCACTTTTCTTGGTAGACATTTACCTATGTCCTGTGAAAACTGGTAAAGTACTCTTGTCTTGATGGCTAGAGGCAAGAAAAAAAAAAAGAAAGATTCTTTACAATGGCCCTTGGTCCGTATTCCTGCTATAACTGCTTCCTTGATGATTATTCATTGACCTTCAATCCATTTACTAGTATGACTGCTGTGCAGATCTTGTGGCAGGCTTAGATTCCTACCGATGACAGTTTTCTCACCTCATATAGTCTACAGTGTGCTCATTGCCCTCTGGAGAAAGTCTGAATGTTTTCTAAAGATTTTAAGAAATCTGTGTGTGTCTGCGTGTGGGTATGAGCATGTGAGTACAGGGGCCTGTGGAGGCCAGAGGAGAGAGTTGGATCCCTGGGGTTGAAGTTTCAGGTGGTTGTGAGCCACCAAAGTGGGTGCTGGGAACAGGACTTGGGTCCTCTGCAAGAGCAGTGCATGTTCTTGACCATCGAGTTATGTCTCTAGCCCCAAGTCGGAAGTGTTTTTGTTGTTTAGATTTGTGTGTGTGTGTGTGTGTGTGTGTGTGTGTGTGTGTGTGTGTGTGTGTGTGTGTGTGTATGGGCTACAAGTACTGTTGGAATCCACAAGCATTGGATTCCTCTGGAGTTGGAGTTACAGGTAGTTCTGAGCCTCCCAAAGAGAGTGCTGTAAACTGAGCTCCTGTCCTCTTTACAAGCGGCAGAGAATAGTGTTCACTCTCAACCACTAAGCCTTTTCTCCAGGTGCAGGTCTGAAATTTTAACCCAACCTATCAAAGTCCTCCTTCCTCACCTACTTTTTATTGTGTTGGCACCCAGTGAGTCTGAGCAGATGCTGAACCGGACTTTTTATCGCCTCCCAGCCTAAGTGCGCATTATTCCCTCAGCTCTGGACTCTCTCCTCGCTCTTCCTTCCCATCCCCCACACTAACCTGTGCACCCAGCAACTTTGTTACATATACCTGTCTAACTCCTGCTTTGCATCTTGGTCTCTTGTGGCGATTCTGTGGGAACTCTTGCTTCACTCTTCGGTATTGCTTCTTCTCACCAAAGTTCCCCACTGCTTCGTCCTTACGCGACCTTATCCCATCTCCTGATATGGAGTCTGATTGCCTGACCATAGCCTTTCCCAGGATGTAAATTCTTTAAGAACAGTAGCTCAGATTTCTTCTCCAGTGCATTCTTAGCACCTAGAACAGTGCCAGACAATAGAACGTAGTAAATATTTGCTGGTTGAATGCAAAGATACAAAAGTGCACTGATGTTGGCCTAAATAAAATAGAAAAAAAGTTTACCTAAAATATGTGCAATGCTTTAGAGTAAGTAGAAAATGTTTTGCTTGTATGTACATTATGTTATTCAAAACACTGTTATTAGCAACTATGAGTAACAGTTTATAATTTGAAGACTAAACTTGCATGGGAAAGCTTGGTCAATGACAAAGCAGTTACTAGAAATCTGTCCAGTATAATAATAATAATAATAATAATAATAATTTTTGTTAAAGAAGTAGAAACTAAAGGTCTCCAGTTAGTTTATTGGAAATACCATTTCTCTTGGCATTTCTGCCTGGGATTAGGGTGCCAGAAAACGCAGCATTACAATGTGCAAGGAAATGGAGGGAGACAACATTTATATGCCAGGCTTCTGGAACAGAATGATTGAAAGAGAGTGAGTCAGATCAGGGAAATTTAAAAGTACTGAGGATGCTTGAATAGGGCCCTTAGCCTGGTTCACATTGTAGAAAAAGATTCTATGGTCAGAGACAGTAAGAAATGAAAGATACTGTAACCTCAGGCCCCTACGGTTTTATTATCTACAGATGATAAAAAGAACTCTGTAAGTGTGTGTGTTTCACGTATGGTCTTAGTCTGGAGTAAACAAAATAACACTATCTGCACCCAAATATATGTAATCATAGGAAGCTTGTGGAAATTAGATTTTACAAGTAGGTTTCTATTTCTAGGTCTTTTTTAACAGTGTTAGCTACTGTTTGTATGTTATAGCAATACAATATACAATGTGACATCTCATTTAGTTCTGTTATTAGGATGAATTAGAGATTATTATACAGCCCTGTTTAGTAGCAGAGAATATTGTGTACAAAACAATGCATACACAGGGCATTCAGATATGCCTTAAACCTAGCATTTTCCCACTATTTTACATACCTTGATGTCTTCTATAAATTTATTTCTTCATATTAAATTACTCATTTAAAATTAATTTTTCAAATGTTTGTTGAGTAGCCGCTTTGAGTCCATTTCCTACTCTTTAAAATTGCAATAATAACCATATTGATTTCATAGGCAGGTGGCATGGGACCTTAACTTTTTTGTTTTTTTCTTGAAACTGGGTCTCAGGTAGTCCAAACTGGCCTTGAATTCGCTATGCAGCTGAAGATGACCTTGAACTTTTGAGCCTCTTGACTCTCCCCCTCCAAGTGCCAGAACTGCAGACATCTGCAAGTGTGCCTTTCTTTTGTTTCCTTGATTATTATTATTTTCCCAGTAGAAATATGTTAAGTATAGTAGAGATGGGTTAAATATTCATTTGGAAATGAACTTCAAATTATAGCATCCCTAGTGATGTCCTCCAGCATGGTGAAGATGGCAGGGTGGTCAGAGTTGGGTGAGAAATTATTTGGGGGATATTATATTAGATATTTAAGAAACACATTTATTTATTCATTTTAATTAATTTATTTAAAGTAGCCCAGGGTAGCATGGAATTCACTATGTAACCTAGGTTGGTTTTGAACTCTACCAAATCCTAGAGTCTTAGACTGGTGCTGGGCTTATAGGCACAATCCACTACATCTGGCTTCACTTTTACGTTTCTTCTGTAATCAGAGTGTGAATAAGTAATTATAGGTAGATACATTCTATAAAATGCAAAAATGCATTGTTGTTAGCTTACTTGAGAATGTGAACTAGCCAACAGTTAGAACACTACTAAATGTAGTCACCTGACCATGAAGCTTTCTCTTACGTTCTAAAATGGCGCCATTTTTTATTGGTTGCTTTAGGCAAGGATGAGATGACCACTATTAAGACTAATGTTCATTAAACTAGTTTTTCATTTTAAAAGAACAGTTATTTATTTACTTGTTATTTGTGTGTGTGTGTGTGTTTGTTTGTGTGTGCATGCACACCAGTACCATGGCATTTATGTGACGTTCAGAGGACAAGCCATTCTCTCCCTCCACTTTGTGGGTCCTGGGAATCCAAATCATGTCATCTGGTTTGACAGTATCATTTGATTTCTGTTCTTTGAAGCAGTGTCTCATGTAGCCATGGTTGGCTTTGAACTCCTGCCCCTGTGTCTACAGGTGTGAACCACCATGCCTGGATTCCCCCTTAATCATAAAAGTCAGATACAGGAAATTTAATCAGTGTTGCTACACTGGGAATGAAAATGTAGGGGGTTCCATGGTCCTCAACTTCACCTTGTGGGTTCTGAAAGAGTTATAGGTTTAGTAGAGGGAGAATTGGGACAGAGAGTGTTTGAAGGTGTGTACATGTGTGCATGGGTGTGCTTGTGAAGCATCGTTCATTAAGTGTGTTGTCCCGACCATTACCCTGGCTCCCGTTCTGTAAGGTGGTTTGAAGAGGTCTGTATGACTCAAGAGGAGTCACACTACATAGTACTTTATCCACGAAATCTATCACAGAAGCCCTTAGCATTGCTCTGTCAGCCTCCATCCTCTTCCCAGACGTGGTTTCTGTTAAATCCTTTGGTCTTTATACATTGTATCTGAAAATGGAACTAACCCACCTTCCACATTCCTTAAGGTTGCTTGACTCCAGTTTGGAATTCTTAAGCAGGCATCATTATGACACAGAACATGGCTGAGCAACACCAAGATCTTAAGCTCTTTGTGGGCAGGTATTTTTTTTAAGATTTAATTTTTAATTATATATGTGTATTTGTGTGTGTATGTCTGCACATGGGTAGACACATTCTATAAAACTCAAGAAATGAATTTTCACTGGCTTACTTGAGAATGTGAACTAGCCAATAGTTACAACTAGTAGATGTAGTCACCTGACCACGAAACTTCCTTTTACTGTTATCATTTTTTATTGGTTTGCATTAGTTAAGGATGCGAATGTTCCCTCAGAGACCAGATGAGGGCGTCAGATCCTCTGGACCTGGAGTTAAAGTTAAATTAAAGGCTGTGGACCACCTGATGTGGGTACTAGAAACCAACCTTGGGTCTTCTGGAAAAGAGTGATTTCTCTTAACCACTGAGCCACCTCTCCAGTCATGGGCAGGTATTTTAGGAGCCATATTACTTATACATTTTTGCATTCCAGTTCTAGCATAGCAACATTTTTGTATATGTATTTTCTTTTTGTTTACGTAGTTATCTTTTGAGGTACTCGGGATTGAACTTGAGGCCCTCAGAATGCTAGGCAAGTGCTCAGCCTTGCTTATGTATTTTGCTAAAAGCTGCTTCCAAGTTGGTTTTCATATCATACAGGGGATTATCAAACTATTTAATCAATTTAAGTTATACCAAATTTGAATTCCTGAGGCCTTGTTTCATACATAATCTAAAAGTAATTTATAAGAAGCAGTCATTACCTACTGTTTTCTTTTACTTCCTAGATACTATCACTGCTGACAGCACAAGCATGTTCTAGTGAAATATTCTATCATAGTAATTAGAAAACAGAACACATAGATTTCATAGCTGTCAAGCCTTTGACTGTCCTGAGTTCATTTTTCCTTAACTTCTTCCAATGAAAAGGTATTTTGATTTTTATTTTACAGCTAAATGATACAGCTTGTTTTTTTTTTAATGACTTTCATTGTTTTTGTTCCCATCAGAGTCATTACTTTTTCAAAAAGTGTGTCCTTCCCACCTTCAGGCATCATAAGTAGTCCCACCAGTTTGGTACTGGCCTGTATCTGGGACACAGTTCAGAAAAAGTGGTCAAGTTAATGAAGAGATTGGATTAGAAAGGAAGGAGGGGGCTTGATGCATGGAATGGAAGAAAGAGTTGAGGAATATGAGGAATTTATCTGTAGAGTTCTAAGAGGCAGTCAAAGAGCTACTTGGCATTTTTGAAGAGCTGTTGCTTGTGTAAGGGTGACTAGGAAGTTTTGGTATAGCCTTGAGGGGAACACTTGGACAGTAGGTGGTTGGCATAATTTGAAGTTTTGCTCAAACAGCATATTTTCTGGCTCAGCATGCACACTGTGTGGAATGCAGGATAGCCTAAGCAGAATACTAGCTAGAGGTGCAGTGTTAGACTTCAATATTTTGTTCACACTCTCCTCTTCCTGTCTCTACATGCTAAATCCACACACGTATCACCTTCCTTTTCTACATGAAGTGACATGGTAAGTCTCTCACTATTGACTATGAAAGACTATGGTAATCTGTCGTTCTTTCCTGTTGTCTGCAATGAAAGTTGAGTGATGGGAAGTAACTTTCTAGTGCTACCTTTGCCATGTAAAAGCATGCCTTTATTGTGAAACTATGGCAGGAGGCGCTTTGACCCATGATAACTGAGACAACAATGTGTTTTGTGATCTCATTAGAATCTTGGTGTGTATGTGTGCGGTGTGCACACTGGTGTACATTTTTCTTGCTGACTTTTTTCATAGCATGATTTAAAGAGGTCCTTTTTACTGACGGTTTCCTTTAAAGCCATATTGTAGCACAAATTCTAATTGGTCTTAATAATAAAAACTCAGAGTCAGATATTGGAGAGGGGGGAGAGAACTGAATGCTCAGAGAAGCAAAGCAGTCAGCCACTGGCTCTTGCCTCTACCTCAGACCGAATGCGCAATCCTGTCTTTGGACTGCCTCCTCAGACTGCCTCCTCAGACTCACTGCCTAGACTGACTACTTCAGACTAACTGCTGCTCAGACTGCACCCTCAGACTGCCTGCCTGAAGGCTGGTCTGAGCTCCTGTCTCCTCCCACCTTAAATTCCTCTCTCTGCCCAGTAGTAAACCTTTCTGTTTCCACCTCCTTAGTGCTGGGATTAAAGGTGTGTAACTTCAAGTGCTGGGATCACCTTTGTGTGAGCTGTTTCTCATTTAGACTGGATCAATTTTGTGTAGCCCAGGGTGGCCTTGAACTAACTGTCTCTGTCTCCCCAGCGCTGTGATCAAAGGTGTATACTACCACTGCCTAGCCTCTATGGTTGACTAGTGTGGTTGCTGGGATTAAAGGTGTGTGCCACTACTGTCTGGCCTCTATGACT